ACACACACACACACACACACACACACACACACACACACACACACACGTTCACGCTCCGTCTAGTTCCAGGTGGAAGTGATCCTGTTGATTAGCCTTGAAGAAGACGTGACGGAGTGAAGCGTTCACAGTTTGTGTGACGATCTCCTGAATGGAGAGTTTCACTCGCCGTGTTTTAAAGAAACGACGACGCAGCAATCAGAAGTGGAATAAAAGACAAACGGACAAAGACATCAAACCTACAGAGACATTTACAGCTGGCTTCATGTTCTTTGTTGTCTTATTGTTCATGAGTGAACAAAATGTCAACGTTAGAATCACAACACGTTTCTTTAGTTACTTTACATTAGTTTGATTACAGAGAGATTTATACATATTTCACTCACATAATACAGAGTTAAGCTTCCTGTAACTCTAGTTTAGATAAAAAGTTATGTTTTATGTTATTTACACACATGAGACTTCATGCAATCTAAAGAATGACTGAAAGGAAGAGCAACGTTAACCATTTAAAGGAACCTTCTGACTGATGATGACTCATCATCGCTGCTCCTCTCCTTTAGTGCATCTCATCTTCACTTCCTGCCGTCAGAATGGACTTTCACAGACTTTTGAAGCGTTTTCTGGAGGACTGGCTTTAGAACATGTGTGAGGTTATGCAAGTTATCAGGGAAGCTAATGGAAAGCTTCAGGACAAAGACACGTGAGAGTACGATGGTTCAGTGTGATGAACGGCGTGTTGGTTTCCTCTCCAGTGTTGAAGCTCTGAGACGTCTCCTGCTGACTCTTCTTTCATCGTGTTGTCTGCTTCCATCGTTGGTTCTCTTGATGGATGGAGCTCCAGAAAATAGAAACGTTGCTCGCCTTCACTGAGTCCAGCTCTGACATCTGTCTGTCCTCCTCTCACTGTACTTTATAGCATATAGTGTAAATAGCACAACGTGTCATTATTACACATGTTAGGCTTTTTGGATGTTATTTAACGGCACCTCGCTACCCTCAAACGTCTTTGAAGTATTATAACCAGCTGGTAGTGGAGAGTGTGTGTGTGTGTGTGTGTGTGTGTGTCTGTGTGTGTGTGTGTGTGTGTGTGTGTCACACCTCTGTCTGGGTCATAGGGCATCTCTCCATGTGTGAAAGCCATCAGTGTGTGTGATGTAGAGGTGGCCTGCTGAAACATTGTTGGCTGGATGTTAATATATTGTTGTGCTCAGATGAGAGTTTCCTTGTCAGACTGAGGATCACTTTAGTTCATCGCTTCATGTATTATCTTTCTGGAGGAGTTTGTGTGATTAAAGGCTGAACAAACACACTTGAGTTCTGTACTTCATGTTCTTTCTCTTCGGTGTTCTCGAGCAGTAACTCCGGTGTTCCCTGTCGTCGCCGATGAGAGGGCCGTGATTGATTTATTTAAAATGGTGTGAAGTGTAACAAATGTGCCGCGCTGCGTTCAAGGCCGCAAAGAGCTGCCGACATGGGACCACCGGGACACACAGCGCCGTCTCTGTGCACGTTCAACTTATAGGAAACACAGTCTGCAGGAGCTTCACGCTTCATTTCCTGCGTTCCTCATTCAGCTGATTGTTTTAGAGGAAGGTCTACTGAACTACAGCCGTTACAGGCACGGAACCTCAGGAGCCTTCTTACTCAACTTAACATTTACAGAGTTCACGGGTTCTCCTGCAGAAGACTTCCATTCACCAGGAACAAGGACGAGTCCTGTGGCAAATTAAAGACGCATCCCTCAGAGTGAATAGGAGAAATTAAATTTAATATTATATTCATCACAGATGAATCTATGATTCAGTTGACTATTGCATGAGACAAAGGAAAGCAACAGGATTGTATTTCTGGGCATCTATTCTTTTATTAGAGAGTGACGAGAGACAGGAAGTGAGGAAAGAGAGGAGAGCAGTAAGCATTTAATAATCGTTGTTACCGTCCGGCTACCGAGTCACCTGAAAGAAACCAAAAACATATTAACATGTGAGAGGTTTGGACCAGAGAACAAACTAAAAAATATATATAATTCTAATAATTAATTAATTTGATTAATTAATTCAATATTAACATTGTTGCTGAGTATTATTCTGTCGGTTTATTAATCATTTGAAAAAACTTTAAATTGATACATTTCCTAAATAGTGAAGTCAGCTTAAACATGATGATAATAACCTTTATTTATGCAGCGCTGTAAAAGTCTTTTGGCATGACTTCATGCTTGTTATTACTGTATTAATACATATCTTCAGTGGAGACGTATCACTGTTTTGTCTCCAGTTATCGCTGACAGCTGACAGCAGGAAGAACTAACAGCAGCTTCCACTTCGGGTTAATTTGATGTTTGTTCGGCTCGTTTTCTGCCGCGACTCCGAGAGAGACGAGAAGCTGCTGTGTGTGTGTGTGTGTGTGTGTGTGTGTGTGTGTGTGTGTGTGTGTTTGTGTGTGTGTGTGTGTGTGTGTGTGTGTTTACACAGTCACATTGTGGGGTCCCGCCTTCCTTCAGTTGATGAAATGCCCCATCATGTAAAGAAGCCTTACAGTTTAGTATTCATATTTATTTTAAGGTTAGATTAATGTTAAATTCATGTTAGGCTTAATTTATGGTTGGATTAAGTTTAGGATTAGGTTAGCTTTAGCTTTAGCTTTAGCTTTAGGTTGAGGTTAGGTTGGTGTCAGGCCGCAGGAAATGAATGTACGTCAGTGTTGTGTCGTCTAATGTCATTTGAAACTGACTGTGTGAGTTTGCAAAGGATACAACATTACTGCTGTGTAGTTTGATCTATAATAATGCATCATATTTCATAAACTGATGTTGTGCATGTAAAAAGAAGTAACCTTCAAAGTAACTAGCATCTAAAGCGGTGACATGAATGTAGTTGAGTAGAAGTACAAAGTGACATGAAATGTAAGTAAGAAGCAGCTCAAAGTACAGGACGGTTCCTCTCCAGCGCTGGAGAAGAAGAAGAAGAAGAAGAAGAACTTAATGAATTTGAACTCGGTGTCTCGTCTCCCTCAGATCTGAGGAACAGCTCGGCGGTGTTCTGGGAGGGCGGAGTCAGCGGTGGATACCAGGCCTTGTTATTGGACGAAGACCAAGGATGGCTGCTGGTCGGAGGGAAGGACCACATCTACCTGCTGAGGCCGGACAGCTTGGACCTGCCCACGCATACGGTGAGAACATTAGAGAACATTAAAGATCAGCTGAAAACAATCCAGACCACCAGCCCTGTCTGACTGACGCTGTTTCATTTTCTCCATCAGATCCACTGGCCGGCTGCCAGAGAACATGTGGAGCACTGCTGCCTGGCAGGGAAAAGTCTGGAGGTAAAGACATGAGACAATGAATATCTTTCTCTCTGTCTCACCTTCAGTCCTTTCCTTCCCTCTAACATGTGTGAACATGTAAACAAAAGTGAAACCTAATTCAGTCGCCCACCACCGCTAAGTTTAAACAAGCACTGCACGAACAACTTCTGAGACAAAGCAGCCAGGAGGACAGAAGACAGAGGACAGACGGACAGATGATAGGAGGGCAGGAGGACGAAGGACTGGAGGGTAGAGGACAGGAGGACAGATGATAGGAGGGCAGG